GTTGAGTTTGGGTCTGAAAGAGCTCCTGGGTTGGAGGGTAGAATATTCTATTTTTAGCAGTGGGTGTGAGGTAATGATACTATTCATACCTGGAATGGTGAATTCCAGGAGTGTCATGGTTTCTTGAGGAGTCATGTGAGACGGCAGCTGCTCCAGGGCCCTGGCCACACCCACTCGACACTCCCACGGATCACTGCAAATGCAGAAATGCACTCACTAACAGGAAACTCATCGTGCCACATCAGTTGTAAATTCTTTTTCCTGGCTAGTATCGTTGTTACTGTTCGAACTTCTGGCCGACGAAGAAATCCCTCTTTGTGGATTTAGACACATTTTTGGAAGCTGAAAAGATTATGTGTGGAGAGAGGAAGGGAGGGAGGAGAGAGGAAGGGAGGGAGGAGAGAGGAAGGGAGGGAGGAGAGCGGAGGGAGGGAGGAGGAAGAGGAAGGGGAGAGCGAGAAGGAGAGCCTGATTTGGACGAGGACGGTTCTTCCAAAGCTGTCTTCTTTGGGAGGTGGGGGAGCTCTCTTCTCCTCGTAGACGGCTAACAGGTCTCCTTGCAGTTTGGGCGCCTGAAGGGAAGGTCAGGTGGTACTAAATCATTAATATTATGGATGAAGGAGAACTACAGGAAAATCATGCAAATTGGACAACTTTAAATGGGTTCAAAATGTTGACACACAAAGATTGTGTGTCACGTTCAATTTGTCTCAAAAACAGTGCACCCTTTCCTAGCAGAAATGTCGCAGCTACATATATTATAGACAAGAATACATAATATTATATAGAAACTGCGTTTCGAAATGAGAGAGAAAGAAGTCTGACTTGTTGGGGATGGGACTGAAGCCAGAGACCCAGGGCCTGAGCAGTAGCTGGTTGCATGGAGAGAGGGGCTGAGGGGACCTGGGCCAGGAGGAGAGGTCCCAGCTCCTTCCTCAGTGAGTAGCCAGTGGTCTTCCACAGACTGAGGGGAGGGACAGAGGGATGAGTTATCTGTGAGCTTGCCGGAATAAATGTTTTTTGTTTCTTGTTTGCTGATTTTTTGCTGTCACGGTATTATTTGCTTTTCTCCTTTACAATACACAACAATACTCTCTATTTGGACATTAGCATAAGGTGTATATACGAAACTGGAAGAAGTCCCGCTAAAATAGGTATACATAGGGCATGCATGTTTGTATATATGCCTTCCCTTCTGTTGTGTAGTAGTGTATAAGGACATAAATGGAGAGATGATGACAAGAGAGCTTACCTTTCTGCCAGAGTTCGATTCCCTTCTTCCGAGTCGTGCCTCGCGACCAGCAGAGCCATCTGCAGGGGAAGATGCCGGGAGAAGTGGGCGGAGTCAACCTTGGTGAGCGAGCGCAGCGTGGTCTGTCGGAGGAGGGTGCAGGGGTCGGAGAGGTCACTCGTGAGGAGAGAGAGGATCTCGGGAGAGAGGGAGGGGAGGAAGCGGATGAGGGAGACATAGGCCTCCGCACACGATTTCTAGAAATGGGAAGTATTTTCAAAATAAGCAACAAGACTATGTACATACTGGTCGAATTAGAGATACGTAGATAGTAAAAGATTTACGAAATTCTAAGTATTTGCAAATCAGCTGAAATTTCACTCACACGTTCACTCGACTACATACGTATCAAGCTTTAGACTCGTGTACTACTGATTTTATACGAACCCTAATATGCATAGCAGGATTTTCTCGAGCAAAACCGGCAAAACACATTTCTCAGACCGCAATAAACTCATTGGAGACTATAGTAAAATAATGGTGGCTCACCTTGACTCTCACACTACGGGCTTTGTCTTCCTCCCACGAGACCAGAGACGACAAGAGTCGCAGAGTCTCCGCCTCGGGAAACGAGGTGGGCGGGGCTTCCTCCTCCCCTGTTGCCATGGATACACCAACATCCTCTGCATACCTACAATGCATGTGTATAGGAAAATGACAAAACAGACAAATAAAGACAAAAGTGACGTTAGCTTGGAACTAAGTTTTTTGTATCAGCATTTTTAAGCATTCACATTTTCAGAGTCATGTAAAATAAAATTGTAAATTACAATTTTAAAAACGAAAAAAGCTCACCGGTCAATGGCAGCACAGAGGACAGACACAGCCTTCTCCAACACAGCCTCCATCTTGTTCCCCACCAGCAGACTCCGCAGTAGAGGGAGGGAGAGGGTGTGGAGGGTGTGGGAGTGGAGAGGGGAGGGGGGGAGGTGGACGGACAGCTCGTCAAGGAGACGGGGGACGGAGGCGCGGAGGGGGGACGAAGAGGAGGAGGAGGAGAGGACGGAGAACGAGATGACAGAGAAACGCTGAGCTACAGGAAAGATTTAACAAAATCTGCTACACTGAAAATTCCCCACGAAAAGTACTAAAATAAGCAAGTGCAAGTGACATCTACGTACATATTACTAATTGAGCAAACTGCAAACTCCTTTGTACGAGATTAAAGTGCCATGCCAATGACTAGAGTTAATTCCGTGGACTTTTGGAAAAACCAGTTGAGTGGACACGCTGGCTTGCACAAGTTCAACACATCTGACATGTATACAAAATGTCGAGTTTGAAGGGCAGCTAATGTTCAGTTAGCTTTCAAATTGGGAGAGCCTATACTCATCAAATTGAGGTCTGCAATACTCAACCTTACCCAGAACCCAATCTCCGACTACTCCGTGTGCCAGAGCGACCCACACTCGCTGACAGTAGCTGCCACCGAGAGGAGACCGCATTCCCTCCATCACAGTCTTCGCCACCCGACCCACGGCTCCAATCAGCCTGGCCCCGCCCACCTCCTCGGCGATGCTGGTCACCCGTGACAGCAGCTGGTCCCAGTGCAGGAGTCTCTCTCTCGTCGTCTCTTCCAGTGACAACTGACTCAGAATGTTCTCCTGTGAGTGGATAGCAAAACGACATGTGCCTCAACAGCATCTCTAGGCACGCAATGCAGTAAGTTCATAGTACATTGCATTGGACGCTGATATTGCAAAAACAACAGTACTACAGTTAAGACACCATGCCTAGCGTGCTTCCCTGCTGTGATTAATTTGTCTGCTATGGGACTCTACTACTATTATTGGCCTGCATGCCCACTGGCTCTAGTCTAATGACACGTACTCTCCATAGGTTGCTACTAGGTAAAGTTTTCACTTCCAGTTTCGCTGTGGTGGGAACTCACTTTCTGTTTCTGGCTGAGTTTGGCCTCCTTCACAAGAGCTCTGACGTCTCTCTCTTTCCCTCCTCCCTCAAGAAGCTCTCTCTTTCTCTTGCTCTCCATCTCTCGTCTCATCTCTGCGTCCCACTTCTGGTCCTCCCAGCTGTAGAGCTTGCTCTCTCTCCTCACGTTGACACTCATGTCCGCCACCAGCGAGGACCGCAGTCTTGGGGCAGAGGAGAGGAAGAAGAGCAAGGCAAAATTTTTTAACTATCTTATAAAGTGACAAAAGAGAGTAACCCACACAATGAACTAAGCTAAGAAGAGGAAGGGAAACAAGAGAATATCTTCATGTTTGACTCACTCCTTCCATAGCTGATTGTGCCACAACTGTGTAGGCGGAGTCAGCATAATCTCCATGTCATCTGTCGTCACGGAGACGACCTCTCGTGCACCCAGCACTCGGCAGACCTCGTCGACCACACCCCCCACTACGCTGTCTTCACTCACACGCAGCAGAGTCCTGAGACAGGCACGTGATTGGTCAGATCGCGTCGCCATGGCATCCATCACGAGAGAAAGAGTCTGATTGGTCAATTCAACGACCAATGGGTGTGGCTTCAGTTCCATCTTTCTGAGCAACTTCAGCCATGCATCAGGTTCAATAGCCACTGTGAAAAATATTATGGATAGCTGAAAACTACTAAAACCAGTTTTCAGACTCACAGATTTGAGGATGGTGACATATCAGCAACACATCGAGTGCCAGGGCCTCTCTCTCCGGGTGAGTGGGCGTGGCCAGACACTGTAGGGCTTCCATGACGGCCCTGGGGTTGAACTCTGACCTCGCGACGGCGGACTCTAGCGTGGAGAGGATTGTGTGTGTCCAGTCGGGGTTGTGAGTGACGAGGACGAGAGAGGGGAGGCAGCTGTCCTCCGGGAGGACCAGGGGAGACCCAGGAACACACCCACCACCACCGTCACCCACTCACTGCGATGTGTTGGACATACATTAATACTGAGTACATCTAGCTACACGAAAGAGGGCTGTACAGTGACATGCCTATGTACGATTGCAAGAGAACAGGAGATATGGCGCCAATCTAAACTATGGAAGGAATCTTAAATGAGGCGATTTGCCAGAGGCCACACTATGCTAAAAACTCAACCCAAAACATGTATTACGCAATAAGGAACTTTTGCGACTCCAGCAGCATTTAACTGTGCATCTGCTAGGGTTTGATCAAACGCAAATAATTATACAAACCTCTGAATGGAGGGTTTCATTGACTGCTGTTCTTTGACCGTCAGGACCTTCTCTGCCACTGCCACCAGCAGCTGCTTCACTGAGAGGGAGGGAGGTTCTCTAGAGCCGTGACTCAATGGCAGAGAGGTTTGCTCACTCTCAGTGGAAGCAGTGGTCATTAGCTTGTGGGAGAGCAGCTGTTCGGACCCAACCAGAGACCACACCCCGCTGGACACACCCCCTAACGACCAACAAGAAAGTGAACATATGGAGGAGTTCAAACAAACAGTGGAACCTCTCCAAGACACGATTGGGACTGAACTGTGTCAGGTGTCCTTATTTCAGGGGATGCAGAACTCATGCAAGAACTGTTCTTGAGAAAAGAAATAATGTTCTTATTAGAGAGGTGCCCACTTTCAAGCCCAAGAAATGCAAAATGAAGCTGAAAGACTAAGTTAGTGTCTACCTGTTCCTTGGAGTTCTAACAAGACGTGGACGGCGACCAGTCCCTCCTCCAGAGCGGCAGACTGTGCCGACTTGCCGGCTGCCCTTTCCACCGAGCCCTGCAGTGTCGGGAGGAACACTGGCAGGAGTGAGGAGGTGAGGTCCCTGGTGCGGCAGAGGGCTAGGAGACAGGAGAGGTAGGCCACTCGCAGAGATCGGGGCAGTTTTCCCGTCAACACAGACTGAGGAGAGAGGGGACAGATCCAAATGACTAGGTTTAAACAAGAAAAGAGTGCACATCAAAATTTTCAGCAACGTAACAATTTTCAGGTAAATGAAGAGACTCGGTACGAAGAATGTTTTGTTGCGCTGTAACTACATTTGGCATGCACGCCTCTCTAACGAGGACACTCTTTTTATTTACCCAAGAACTGTGATAGCAAATGGACACTTTCTTCTGCTCTATTGGTGACCACGTTAGAGTGGTTCCACTGTACTAGACTAGTCCTCTCTAATTTTTAAGGTGCAAAGCCACTTACGCACACACACACTCTAACAACTTCTCCCACCTTGATGTGATCCACAAGAGTGGAGGGTATCTTCTCCCCCTCCCCAATCACCTGGCACCACCTCACCAACACACCCACACCCACACACGCCGTCCCCACGTGAACCTCACTCTTCAGGTAACCTAGGAGACTGTTGCTCTGGATACCGTCGCCGTGGCCACCGAGGACCGCCCGGCGAGCCAGTTTCTGTCGACTTGCCAGCGACAGGGGACATTTCACCAGCTCTCCAATAGCTACAGAGAGAAAACACTTTAAAAGTGGCACATCTCAAAAAAAGATTTTCCCAATATGGGACCCAAGGTATGTTGTAGCTTCATTGAAGGGCACAAAATGGTGGTCTCAACAGTTCATAAAACCCTCAAATAATGGAAGTACTGCTAGACAATGACCCATCCAGGATATAGCAGTAAAACATTGTCTCACCCACTCTCATTAGCGTCTATGCATATACGTACCTGCCAATATACTTGACCGATGTTCAGTAATAGTCAGCTTCCCATTGGGGGAGCCTATAAATTACAATTACATCACCATTACATCATCGAGGTAAGCTAAAGACAGTAGCTCACTCTTGAGAGCTGTCAGTAGTTCAGACATGACTTTCTCGAGAGGTGAAGGGTCGGAGGACTGCAGAGCTAGAGCCGAGATTAGCTGGAGGGCGTGGTCACGTGTTTCCGGGAGTGGGGAGCTGAGGTGGGCTGGAAAGAGAAGAGGGGGGAGAAGGAGAAGAGGGGGAGGGAGAAGGGAGTAAAGGAGAAAGATTTTAGCTACAGGAACAACATGTTCGTTCCCAAAGGCCCACACCATGCATTTATGACACTAAGGGCAAGCAGGGGGATTAAAAAGCTTCCCTGCTTTGGTTAAAATTCGAAGCATGGGAAGCAAATGAAGGAGATGGGAGGTGAGAGTTGTACATACCGATGCAGTTCTTGGCAAAGCCCTCGGCGTACTTGCTGCAGTCCAATGGAAGGACACTCACCAAATGAGCAACCGCTGAAGACAATGTAAAATGGTGGACACCCCTCTATAAGGACACCCCTGAAACGAGGACACCTCTTCAAAAAGGGCACATTTTCTCTCTCCAAGAACAGTTTCTTGTATGAAACTTAACCCCTCAAATAAGGAAACCTCACTAATATTGACACTTTCTTCTGTCCCATTGGTGTCCTGATTATAAGGTAGAGGTTCCACTGTATAACCAAACAGAGAAGAAAGGGGACACAGTCACGTGACAAAGGACACACCCTCAAGGAGTTCGTCCGGATTCCTCAGGAGACATTTCAGCGACGAAGATAGGAGGAGGGAAGCGAACTGATCGTGAGTGACCTTCTTCAACAGTGGACCACAACTTGCCTGACATCAACAACATACATACTCGCCTGAAAAACAGCATTTCTCCAAAGTGGCAAAGACTGTACCACAATAGGTTGGAATGGCTTGGTGCGGCTCATAAGAACAACCTTACGATAGTAGTGGAGCAGTGCCTCCTAGATATCACAAGGAGAGTAAAAGCAAAAAAACGGAGGGGAGGAGAACGAAGGGGGAAGAGAGGGGAAAAGCAAAAAAAAAAAACAAAAAAAAAAAAAAAAAAAAAAAAAAAAAAAAAAAAAAAAAAAAACACCCCCTCTCCCCCCCCACCACCCCCCCCCCCCCCCCCCCCCCCCCCCCCTCCTCACCCCCCCCCCCCCCCCCCCACCCCCCCCCACCCCCCCCACCCCCCACCACCCCCCCCCCCACCCCCCCCCCCCCCCACCCCCCCCCCCCCCCCCCCCCCCCCCCCCCCCTACCACCCCCCCCCTCCCCCCCCCCCCCCCCCCCCCCCCCCGCCCCCCCCCCCCCTCAACACCGCCCCAACCCCGCACACGAAACGCACACACCCATCTCCGCCAGCACAGCCACGCCCCTACACGCTCACGCGCCCCGCCCCCGCGCCTCCCCGCCCCGCTCCCACACACGCGCCACTCGCTACGCACGCCGCACGCGCCCACACGCCCCAACCCCGGCGACCCCGACCCGCGCACGCGCCCACACAGCACACACGCATCGCAGCACACTCCAAACCGGCCGCCCCGAGCACTGCGCGCGCGCACACGCCGACACACGCCGCCGTACGCTCAGCCGCCCCACACACACCGCACGAGCACCGCAACCGCGACCCCCGCGACGCACCGCGCGGCACCAGCAGCTCGCTCGCCCCGACACGCGCACTCCGCACACGGCACACCAACCCACGCTTCACAAAGACTGCACCCGCACCCACACGCGCAGCACTCCCACCCCACGCACACCACCCCGCCCCAATCGCACGACTCCCCACACGCCACGCACACACACACGCGCCCGCCCAACCCTCCCACCCACCCACACTCGCCCCTCCCAAACCCCCCCCTCCCCCCCGCCCCCCCACCCCCACCCCCCCCCCCCCGCCGCCCCACCCCGCCCCCACACGGCCCCCCCCCCCACACCCCCCCCCCCCCCCCCCCCCCCACCCCCCCCCCCCGCCTTGACCACCCCACGGCCACCCCCTCCCACCGACCCGCAGCCCACCAACACCCAGCCACACTGCCCGGGCCACCCCCCCCCAACGCTCCCCTCTCCCCCCCCCCCACGCACCCAACACCCCCCGCCACCACCCCCCCACCCCCGACTCCCGACCCGCCCCCCCCACCCCCCCCGCGCCGCCCCTCCCCAACCCCCGACCCCCCGCCCCCCGCCCCCCCCCCCCCCCCACCCCCCCACCCCCCCCCCCCCGCCCCCCCCCCCCCCCCCCCCCCCACCTCCCCTATCCTCCCCCCCCCCCCACCCCGCCCCAGCCCCTCCCCCCCCCCCCCCCCCCAGCACCCCGCCCCCCCGCCCCCCTCCCCCCCCCCCCCCCCCCCCCCCCCCCCCCCCCACTCACACCCCCCCCCCCCCCCCCACCCTCCCCCCCCCGCCCCCCCCCCCCCCCCCCCACCGCACCCGCCGCCGGCCCCCCCCAGCCCCCCCCCCCCCCCCCCCACACCGCCCCCCCCCCCCCCCCCCCGCCCCCCCCCCCGCCGCCCCCCCCCCGCCCACGCCCCCCCCCGCCCCCCCTCCCCCCCCGCCCCCCACCCCCCGCCCCCCCCCCCCCCCCCCCCCCAACCAGCCCCCCCACCCCCCCCCCCACCCCCCCCCCCCCCCCCTCGCCCCCCCCCCCCCCACCTCAAAAAAAAAAAAAAAAAAAGCAAAACGAGTGGGTATTAAATAGAGAAAGACACCAGACCTGCTGAGAGCTGTCCAGGCCTCCTGTCTGTGAGCAGTGCTCCGCCAGCAGGGAGAGAAGGCAGAGAGAGGCCATCTTCTCCTCACTGTCCAGTAGTCTAGAGAGGTAGTCCCTAGCCAGAGCAGGTCTGCTCCGCCACAGAGACAGCAGCTGTCGCCGAGCCACACGCCACACTCTCGACGACCTCTTTGGATCGTGAGGTACAGTAGCCGAGAGAAACACAGCCTGCAAAAATAAGGAGGAAGATTTTGTAGAAGACATTTGTAGTCACTATAATTATAACTGCCCCACATTTTATCAATGAATCACTCAGTCACTATTAACTCTCAAAATTGTGTGCATAAAAAAATTTGCAGTCAGTAAAAATGAGTTCTCCGACAATATACGCTGCATATCTTACCTGTGATTTAACGATGACATCGTTGACATCCTGACTGTGTCTGGCTACCAGAGTGGACCACTGGAGGGCGGTGAGAGCTGGCTTGCTCATGGCGGGCCCTGCAGGTGGTCTGAAGTAAGGACACGCCTTCTCCAACACGGTGCAGAGAACAGCAATAGCTCCTGGACCTATCAAAAAGACAATGACATAAATCCCAACGTATTTGGCAGATTGGTGCATTTTGCTTTTAGAATTGCCAAACTGAATGTGCCTAAATTTTTACCAGTTCAAGCAGCGAGTGATGACTACAAAATTCATCGCTAATATTTTAGTGCCCATTTTCACACCAAACTGATAAGTATGGTATTCTCAGCTACCGACTTGCCATGATTTGAACACAGCTCATCCAGTACTCTCTGCACATCAAGCTTTGAGTCTCGATCCCTATGGGGGACAGCTCAGTCTTCATTCTCTCGTAATTCCGTGCACCCATTCGCCCAACTCACGTATAGAGGAATAGGGTGCTCCCTAGTGTCTGCACGCAGGCTTTCACTGCCGGCACGGGCAGCTCTATAACAGAGAAAGTTCGCAACTCGCGTCAACAGCCGTACCACCGCTCGTTACCTTTTCCTCTCGCGGCACTGCGGAGGTTTTCCAGCAGCTCTCGTCTAGTAGAGGTCTTCGACGTACTGTAGCCTTTCACGAACGCCTTTATAGCCTCCATAACGGAGCTAAACAGCTAGTAAGACGGCTCTGCATGCGCTGAAACGACACGTGCGATGTGCAATTCCTCTGGGTGGGCATTATTTGGGAAAACGGTGTTTACGAACATGGAAGGAGGAGCGGAAAGTAGCGGCTCGGAAGCGGCTGCTCCGCTGTCGTTCTCTATGAGAATGACGGTGTACGGTATTCAGAAGGCCTTTCCCTCCGTGCGCAACGTCACCTGCAGCGACGTGGACGCGTGGAGACGCAACCAAAGCAGAAAGACCGTTTTCGTGGTAAGCCGTAGCTAAATGAAACCCGTTCATAATTCATGAAATAAGAAACGTTAGGACGTTAGACCGGAGGAGGAGTTCAGAGTGAGCCACATCCCAGGAGCCGTGCGTGTGGAGCCCAACTCGCAGCCTGACCTTCGAGAACTAGGAATTACTACTGAGGACACTGGTGAGCGAGAGGGATTTGACCTCTGTGAGAGGGATATGACCTCAAACCTCCCCCTACACAACAGTGGTGTGTTACTGCTCGGTCGGATACCGTTCCTCCGACATGGCTCAGAGACTCTACCGAGTGGCACGGACTCCAGACCATGGCTCCCTGGACGTGTACAACATGGAGGGAGGCATCTTCCAGTGGGCCATAGAGGAGAGAGATATTGTGGACAATGACAAAAACAAGGCGGCTGAAGTCCACCCATACAGTTCTGTATGGGGAATGTTACTCCCTGGAAAATTACGAGCTTCTCTATGATCAAAATGTGCAATTTTTATGGACATGATACAAATTTTTAAGCCCAATGTGCAAAAAATATTCTGTGGTGATCTTTTTTTAATCATCAGAGGTTGAGTGTTTCCTAGTCTCAGCCTCGGATTTAGCTCTCTTTCGGGCAAGGTATCTCTCTTTGGCGGACATCATCGTCTCCTCGGTGGCTTTCTTGGCAGCTGCCAGCTTTCTCCTCTCCACCGGTGTCACGTCTTCCTCCTCGACTTCGACGCCAGCACGAATCCTTATCCTCTTCTTCGGAGGCACAGAACCTTCCTCAGTTTTATTAGCGTCTGTGTCCATTTCTTTATCATCAGTAGGACCATCCTTTTCTTGGATTTTTTCTTGTTCTTGGCTTTCCCTTCTTTCTCTGTGACTAGACCTCTCACCATAGTCTCTGTAGCCTCTCTCCCTGCTTCTTCTGTCTCGCTCACTGTTCCTTCTCTCCCTCTCCTCCCCCCTGCTGTCCCTCCTCTCCTTCTCCCCTCTGCTCTTTCTGTCGCTGTCCCTCCTCTCCCTGCCTCCCTCTGAAGAGTGTCTCCTCTCCTTCCCGCCACTTTCCCTCCTCTGAGTCTCTGAACTTCGTCTCTTCTCCCTCCTTTCATCTTTTCCTTCTCTTGCCTCTCTCTCATTCTGATTCGAGCCACCAGATCCTCTGTCTTCTTGCTCTTTTTCTCTGCTCTCTGTCGACTGTGGCTGTTTGACATGACTCTCCCCTGGTGCTCCAGAAGATGCTATTTGGTTGAACAAGTGCTTCTGGAATCTACTCAGATCTTTCTGCTTTGTCACATCGTTAGCCTCTGCAGAAACAAACATTAACAGACTTTCATTGGAGGTATTTTTGATCAGCATGTGTAAGGTCTGATTTCTACCCAAAACAGTTCCATAAACTCAATAAACATTTCCTCCTGACACTAACAGATCCACAATATATCGTACACTGTGGGATATACATTATTACGGCACTGCGGTCCCACCTTCCAAGGCAGCCTCCCTGGCCAACTCCTCTTCCAGTTGCCTCCTCTCCTCCAGCTTCTTCTTGTAGGCCGAGGTCACGAAACTCTCCTTGTCTCGGAATTCCTCCGCGTCTTTTTCGATATCCTTCTGTGCCAGGTGTTCGTAGACCAGCTCTCCCTCCAGTTTCCTCCGCTCTGCCGCCTTCTTCAGAGTGTGGATGTACTTTGGCTGCGTGGAGAAAAACACACGTCAGGCTATAGAATCCCGATACCTAGTACAATCGATAGTCAGTTATTATGAAAGTAAAGCTTCGCAACGTAGCAGGGAGAACATTTGTGCATTCTTTGCCAATGGAGCACAATATCTGCAGAACTTTAGTGTGGGACTCTCACTTTTCTTTCACTGGAGAGGTTCTGGACTTTCTTCTTCTTCTCCTCCACCATCTGATCATACAGACTGTCGTACTCAAAGATGGACGGATCTTCTGCCAGTGCCTGAGACGCTGCCTCTTCCATCTATAAAATGCACATGAACTTCATTCCATGCGCATTTCTCACATTATCACACACCTGTTTTTTACTCTTTGCGTGTTCTCTCTTCAATGAGGCATTGACTTGCTTTTTGCCATCGTCTTCCTAAAAATACACGGCAGCCAACCACATCGCTTTTTTACACAGCACGACATAATTATATGATACATGCCTCGTCACTGGAGCTGTCTCCAAACGCTGATAGCTTCGCAACGGGTTTAACAGCAGCAGCCTTCTTCCCGCTGGGCATTATGAGTCCGTACTTCTTCCCCTTCATAAACATCGACATTTTTTTAGCTCGGTTGACGTTGGTGCGCTGCAAATAGAGATAGGTGTGCTCTATTTAGAAAAAACGACCGAGAGAAAAATCATGGACGTGGTTCCAAAGTCTCAGCCTACAGTGGACGAAGCGCAGTGGGAGGAAAAAGTCAAGGCATACCACCTTCCCCGCGCTGAAATAAACAAAGTCAGTTCACGGGGACGCTGGATCGATAATTCAGCGTTTTTTTCCGTGCAGGTGGTAATGGAGTACCTTGTAAAGGAAGGCTTCAAAGACGCGGTAGGTGCGTTTCAGGAGGAGAGCGGGATCGACCCGGGAATCAACATGTCAATGCTGGACGACCAGATTAGAATTCGGGACGCAGTGGAAGCAGGTAAGGTCGTAAGACAGACGTGTGTGGAATCCTGCATTTCTCACCTACGTTAGGGTCTATCCAGGAGGCAGTGGAGCTGGTGAACGACGTGGACCCTGAGATATTGGACACTAATTCAACACTCTTCTTCCACCTACAGCAGCAGCAACTCCTTGAACTCATCAAGGAGGCAAGCTAACAACAACTCCTCCATTCATCTCTTCCCACTCCTACCTTTCATTTTTCCCCCTATCTCGCACCGCTCTTTCGTCTTTTCGCTCCTGCCTTGAAAAACAAGTACTATACAGTACTCACATAATAGTTTCCTGCTATATTTGTAGCTCTATATAACAACCCAGGGTGATGTAGAGAAAGTACTGGAGTTTGCCCAGACGGAGCTGTCAGCGAGAGGAGAAGAAAACCCGGCATTTCTGGAGGAATTAGAGCAGACTCTGGCACTTTTGGCCTTCGATGATCCTACCACCAGTCCGTACGCTGACCTACTGGAGAGCTCGCAGAGACTCAAGCTGGTCAGCGAACTGAACTCTGCCCTCCTGGCCAGCCAAGACCAGGAGACCACTTCGCGACTGAGCGTCCTCATGAAGCTGGTACTGTGGACGCAGGAACAGCTGCAGAAGAAAGGACTCGTGTTCCCAAAACTTGCCAACATCTCCTCTGGAAAACTGGAGAGCTCCTCTACCACCCAATGACTAATTATAGTTCTCTTCTTCATTTTACTTCCTTCACCTGACCTATTTATGTGCACACACACCCGCCCAGTTTGTGTTTGTGAACTTGCCCGAGACACTGTAAAATTATCATCACAGACTTTATTACTCTGCAGATGGGAGATGGTACATTATAATCCACAAAAAGATGTAGAGCTATTGAAAAGAAGATGCTAGTCGAAGAGTCCGAAGCCCATGTCGTCGTCTGACTCATCTTCCTCCTCTTCCTTCTTCTCCTCCTTGGCTTCTTCCTTCTGTTCCGCGGCAGCTCCTCCTTCTCCTCCTCCACCAGCAGACACCGCCGCTACTGCACCTCCTGTGGCCACAGGAAAACTCAGTCTCTCTCTCAAACATAGACATGTCCTAGACTTGCTTTGACTTGGCTTGGTAATGCCAAAAGTCAGTGATATATAGCACCCTATAAATCAAGGTGCTGATACCAAGATGGTTAATGGTAAAGAACGAACTGATGTGTAAGTAGTACTGCTATGGAGTTGCTAATGGGTAACTACCTGATGGCATGGAGGCAAGTTTGCCCATTCCTTCACTGATAACTTCGTTGATGTCTTTCCCATCTAGTTCACCGACAACCTATAGAGGGGACAGTTCCATCACAGTGAGGCCCACACTTCGTTAGACTCTAGGGCTCGCCTTCGTCAGTTTCTCGTCGTCAACGTCCAGACCGACGCTCTCCAAGATATTCTCAACGTCCTCTTTGGACGGGTTGCTTTTGCCCCCGAGGGTAGCTAGGAGGTAGGCAGCCACGTAACGCATTTCTGGAGCGAACAGGAAACACAGAGCCTTCAACCTGAAAGCATTGAATGGTAGAGTGATACTTACTTTAAGTCTCTAGGACACGAAACGACGGCACGCCAGAGAAAACAACGAAAAGGCCGAACACCGAAGAAGACGCACGTGCTTTTCTTACCGAATGTGCGCAGAGTCCGCTGCGCAGGTTTCAAGTTTGAATGAGCTAAAAAATGGCGGACCGACTGACCCAACTTCAGGAGGCGGTGAACCAGGTATCGAGAGTCCGGGGCTGCATTTTGAGCTGGAGTGAGATACGTGTGTGTTTGTTTCCAGTTGGGAGAGTATTTCTGTAGTAGTGTTGGCGTTCTGCAAGGTGCTCCTGAGCCAGCTCAGCAGAATGGAGAGAATCCTAGTGAGTTGTCTCGGAAGTAAAGGTGCCTGCTAGACCTTTTTCTGCCACAACTTTAGCTGATGGGACCACTAGAGAGCCGGGGAGTGAACCAACAGGTCAGCAAATAAACCTCATCCAAAACAGTGTAAAACACTTGTTCAAACGTTTCAACTGCAGTGCCGTCAAGTGCAGAGAACGCTGCACTTTTTGCAAGTCTCATCTCACGCACTGCACAAGACATTGACGTCCTCATCGAATCCCTCCCCAGCCAGGCATACACACCAAAAAAACAGGTTTGTTGGCCACCCAACCAGGCACAATGCAAAACAGTTTTTCAACCTTTGAACGGTATTGGATAACACTCTCAGGCTAAGTCTTGTAACAGACCACGGTGAATGAGAGCATGTTTTGAAGATGAATGAATAAGCATGTTGAAAAATAGTGAGTCGTGAGTCGTGTGTCTTAACAACACCACTGCCAATAAACACAGGTAGAGAGCTTGCAAAGACTACAGTCTGAGAACCAACTGGCGGCAGAGAAATTGAGAAAAGCCGTTGAAAAAGGAGGTAAGCAGAACGCTACTCTAATAGGTTATAGTTCAGATGATGGTGGTATATACACTGACTCAGAAGTGCTACTGGAGAAGATTCGAGAAGCACTGAAAGAAATCTGTGACTCGCAGTTTGGAATAGAAAATGACACACCTCCAAGATGACTCCTTTGTCATACAACAAACACACACACACACACAAAATATAATTATATACACTGACAACTTTGAACAGTGGATATTTTCATCATTTGTCATTTTCTGGTCTAAAAATCACCTCTTCTTTTCCCTCTTTCTGGGCCACAAATCTTGCAGCAGTGAACAGAAAGTCACTCAATCTGTAAAAAATGAAGTCATTTTTTCCAACACAATTTGTTTTATGGCATGATGGTAGAATATGTACTACCTATTCAGATACTTAGTGACTCCCTGCTCCACCATATCAGCTCGGTAAAGAGGGACAACCCTGCAATATTGCATCGAAATTACACTAATGCTTTATGTTTACTAACAGTGTCCTTATTTGGAGGTTTTGCTGCACAGTGTTGGTCTCTATATACCTTCGTTCAGCTCTCCTGCAGACTGTACGAGCCAGGTGAAGTGTAGCACTGGCCTTACCACCTGACTGAGGAAGACAGGCAGAAAATGAAACTGGGGGTTTGTATGGGTTTGTGTGTCATAACATACAGGTAGGATGAAGTTTGCCAGTTGAGGTAGATCAGCGTCCAACTCATCGATCCATTTCTCGAGCTCCACCGAGTGATGCTCGCCAAATTCAGTCCTAGCTGTGAGAAATTTTCACTCTGACAGTTCCCTCTTTACAACTCTTCCCTCACCTTGTTTAGTGGGTGTGGCCTTGTTTCTCGGGGTAGCGACGTGGGCCCCCACCTCAAAAAGCCTAGACTGGATCTAGGTTCAGCGGCAGAGTGGATTTAGACCAGCACCTACTACTGTAGCCTACCTCTTGTAGCATCCCAACCACCTTCCCACCATGCGTAGCAGCTTCATGCTCCAGGCAGAACTCCCTGGCTAGTCTATGCACGGATAAATTCAACATTACGGTATATACAGTGAAACCTGGACTCTCCAAATAAGGAACACTCTGAATAATTGATCTCCCAAAAAGTGTCACTTATTCAGGGGTTTAACGCTGCGTAGTGTTTTACCCGATGGTTGAGTTTAGTTCGTCGGTTGTGCCAACTGCTTCAAATACATCATTGTCCTTTGGAAGCCTCTGACCAGAGAATGTACTGGACACACCTGCATTGTGTTGTATATAATTATGCAGTGGAACTTCGACACCAATGAATTGGTGGTGGTTTTTTTTTCACGGGTTAAATTGTAGGCAAGAGCTGTTGTTGGTAAAAGAAAAAAACGTCTTTTTAATGGGTGTCCTTGGGTTCACTGTATACTGGGAGCAATCAGTGATGTTCACCCACGACCTTTGTCCCCTTGTCTGGTGTAGATTTTCAATTTCTGGCCCGAGGTTTCGCTACACAGCCTCCTGGTGCAAGAGATTAACTGTTTTTCTAAAAGTCAGGTAACTTTAACATAGGAGTACCTGATGAAGACAAGTCTCCTGCTGCTAGCATGCTGGTGAAATCTGATAAACGACATCAAGACTTTGGTACGTGTGGCTGCGCGCGCTTGCGCACTGGCTATATACACAATGCGCATGCGCAATCGATTAAAATGGGACTGGCTGCTCCGACGCAGCAAGCCTGTGAGGAGTGCAGTAGCTAATGAGAATTACTTATGTCTGTGCCAAAATATTTGATCTCGACTGAAGGCGGAGTCCACGAACCGCTGCTATCCTCGCAACACACAACCAAGGCAACATCGGAGCGAAACATGTCCGTATCGCGGAAGAGCGACGCCAACGACGAAGATTTTAGCGACATTCAGCCGGTGGTCCAGACGCACAGCTTCTCTTCGGAGCCTTTTCACCGGTTCGGGAACACCGGCTTCGAACACATGAGACAAGCCACAGCTCAGGGGCTCGGCGGCGGCGGTGCTGGTAACGGGGTTGGTGGGTCTGGGGATAAATTCTCCGGCGGCGTAGACGCCAACAGCGACCCTGAGGTGGCGGCTTTTGCATACAACGAGCGGACCGGGATCCCTGCGGCAGCGGACTACGAGATCTCTCAACCATTCGGCCACAGTACTTTTTCCACCGCCATAAACACAGGTGAGGTTAACGGTATATACACCACAGCTATTAGCTCACACCAGCGAGCTATATAGCAGCAGCTGTATGTTCGTTGGTCACCTCCCAATTAGTTCTAGAGATTCTCGGGTTTTCTCGGATCCTAGTAACACATACCAATCTGTGCGACATCATAGTATATACCCATAACACAAACACTACACACGCTTCACGCACCCCAAACACAGGTTCTGGGGATTCCAACGTGTACTACAAGGACGACGAGGGAAGAACCAAGTTCGAGGTAAAACAACAACCTTCCCAGCATCTTTATATGTACTACTAAAATCTCGCAATTTGTCTTGCTCAGGAAGCGGCTCTCTATGTGAGGGAAGGAGAGTTGAATGACAAGTTCTACAGCCACCCGACTGGACGATGGTCCAAGCTGGCCTACCAGATTCTGCACCACCCCGTCTTTCACGTGTTTGACCTGATGCTCTCCATTCTGCTGATGCTCCTGGCCATCATCGAGAAACCTTCTGTCCTGGGAGCCAACCCAACTGAACAGCCTCTTGTCACGGTAGGCCAAGGACATGAAAAATTGCAGCATACCATATAATATGTACCTGTGCCAAATACCCTAACTCCCACAAGACTGCGTAACTCCTAAGATAATTGAGTATTCATTTGTACTCGCATTACCACATCAACTAATTAGTTTGCCGTGTCCATGAGACAAGGTTCAGTGGGCACAGCAATATCTGTCTTGGCAGCCACCCTCACCTAACATATACCGCCATTGTATCTACCAACCTTCAGAGAACAATTTGCTTGTTGTTGTATGTTAGAAAAAATGTGCTGGCCCTCCAAAATAACTCTCCTCAGAGTCCTCTCTATCTCAGAGGGTCCCTAATCGGAGGTTCCCCCACTATATTATATATATATGTCAGACATGTCAAAAGTGGGGAATTGACGATATTCTGGTGAGATGGGCAGTATTTTAGCAGAAATCTTGATGAATGCACAAACGTCCCTGAGAGGTGTATGTAGGTATTTAAAATGCCCTGTCAGCTCAGTGATGGAAGTACCAGACTGTGAATAACGATTTAACACACAGCATATGAATGACCATAACATTATTCAACTGCTCCAAATGCAGTACAGGTAGGATTTTACTAGCTACGACCACAATATTTGTAATGTGTATAGTCTTGGTGCTGGCCAGCGAGACTAACACCATGAATTCAACTGCTTTTTCTGGTGTTAAATGCTGTGCAGGTACACGGAGTGCTGGAGCTAGTAGTTCTGGGTCTGTTGGGGGTGGACATAATCCTCAGACTCATATGGCTCTCTCCTAGACACTTTTTCAGACATCGTCGCACCATGTTTATCGTAAGTTACACACTTCAGGGTTTTTTTACACATGGGGGGAAGGGGAATCTCTTCCCCTTGAAATCAGAAATTTACAACGAGATGGGGCACCAGAGGACCGCGTTAAAGTTCAAGTATGGCTTTCTCCCACAGCACTTTGTTGGTTAAACTCCCACCATCATGTTATGTATGCATATGGTTGTGATTTATGGGTAGACGAATATTTTCATTTGCCTCCATTTAAGAACCTTGAAAGTGTTTACGCTGGTTTATTTTGCTGCAGACGGTCATGTTGTTTGTGATGGGCATAGAGGCATTTGTGGTGCTCGTTCGTCAGCAGAGCCACTTGCGGATCACGCGGGCACTTCGCCCTGTGTTTTTCATTGACACTTACCTCATGCTCGGAGTCAGAAGGTTAGTCTGGGGATGACTGAGAGGGGCAGAGAAGAGGGGTGGACAATGAACGTCAGAGTAAATAGATACTTTATTCTGCCCCACGCGTACTATTACCTCTGAATAAGGGACGCAACCGAATAAAGAACACTTTCAATGTCCCGTTTTTCAGAGTTTTAACTTCAACTGTCTTTTGTTTAGAGTAGTGAGAGAATTGTATTAACCGAATCCTGCAGGGTTCTGCGGCAGATTTTCCAGAGTTTAAAGGTCATTGTCGACGTCATTCTCTTACTCTTCTTTGCGGTGGCCTTCTTTGCCTTGATAGGTATGTCAATGTACGGCTATTACGTAACATATTTAATTAATTAACCCTCTGAACTCTCTCTGTCTCTGCAGGCTACTACCTGTTTGCTGAAACGGACCCCACCGTAAGTCAACCTGAAAGTTTTGTTCTTTTGTCAATGAAGTTGTTGTGGTATTTGTTTCCGTGCAGTATTTCGACACTTTTGGGCTTTCCTTTGTCAGCCTCTTCATCACTACTACCACTGCCAAGTCAGTCTCAGCTTGTCTTCTGCTTTCCTTCCTCTTTTCCTGTGTATTCTACGCCTGTCTGTTTGTACTGAACTCACATCTGTGCTGGCTACTGGCTACAAACCCACAGCAGTGCCAGAATTACTTAATGTGGTGGTCTATCCACACTTCGGTGAAACAAACTCTGTTTACATTTCTTAAATCACTGTAATCCACGCCACTTGAAGTTCGTAAAATCAACACTGGAACAGTGGATAGTTAGAGGTTGTGAGAGAGAAAGAAAAAAACCGCCAAACACGCCAGACAATCGACTTCTCAACCACTATCGTTCAATGAGTTTATATTAGCAATGCTCCTTGGACCTATTTGTGTTGTGTGCGTAGCCTTTGCCGTGCGAATTCGTTGTTGTTTTACAGGATTATTTTACAGAATGTGTTTTGTTGTGCAGTAATCCCGATGTGATGATGGAGGCCTACAATCGTGGCGATGCCAGTCCCATCTTCTTCATGGTCTACATCATCATCACCCTCTACTTCATCACCAACATTGTGAGTACTGGCTTCATGTAATGGATGATAGAGTGCAGGCTCCATGTAGATTGCTGGCTTCATGTGAAATGTACGTGGGTCCGGAGCGCGGCGCCCCGCCCAGTTCTATTTAATTTGCACTTGTCTGTCTTTCATACCTCACTTATGATGATTCATTGGCAAGTGAAGTAGTCATGAATTGCGCCATTTGGTGTATATTTGTATATGGATTGTAGACAGCACTATCAATACCTGATGTCATTCTAAATACACATAAAACCGCAGAAAGTTTGCACTCATGTTCATTCGTTCTAGGACTTTGTCAGTCGGTCTCTCATTAGCCAGAGGGTCAGATTTCACTCACCTACTACACAGTGTTGGTTTCCACAGTCTCTCCCTCCCTCTCTCACCCTCAGCTGCTTGCCGTGGTGATCAGCAACTTCGCAGCAGAGGAGAAAGAGAAGTTCCGTAAACTGTTTCTCCACAAGAGAGAGGCCCTGAGACACGCCTATAGAGTCCTCGCCGGCCGCACGGGAATCACGTTTGACGACTTTCTCGCCTTCATGGAGCACTATAGGCCTCGCATGCGTGAGTCTTCATAATGAAATGGCACAAATGGCACGGTTCACCATTACCTCTCTTCGTGATGCATAGTACTATGCATTACCATAGAGTTCAGCATAATAATGTGTACTATAATTATTTTCCATACTCTGCAAATTCCCTCTCACGATCAAAACACCTGTAACTAGATTGCAATACTATGTACAACTCAATATTGAGTGTCTCCCTCTAGCCTTGTTCCCTTTAAAAAACATAGGAGAGCCTTGCACGTGAGTTTAAGAAGGCGATAACTTACCTATTTTGTAAATGTCATGGGGTGTTCTACTATGCCAAGGAACAAGAAAATATTTCAATTTCTCATTACCTCACTCTCCCCCTCCCTCTTTACACGTGTCTGACTGTCTGTAATTCTCTCTCCCTCCTCCCACCACTGTATGTATGTGTGTGGGTGTGTCCCCCCATCTCTTGGTCAACAGCTGAGTGGCAGGTGATGTGCGTGTTTAAGGCGCTCCACGTGAATCCCAACGACCAACACTCAGAGCTTCGAGAGGCCGAGTTCTACGACTTCTACGAAGTCCAGAACCTCAAATGGAGGGAGGTAAAGTCAACCACCACCCTCACTAGGTCCATCATATTGAAACGCCACAGGTGACTGAAGAGGGAGAGGACGTGCTGTGGTTCAACAAATTCCCGCCTCCTGTCAAGAAAGTCTTTCTCAGTGAGTGTTGAATGGAGGGGGAGGCTTCTGTGAGCAAATATTTTATCTCTCTCTCTCTCTCTCTCTCTCTCTCCAGAGATACACGCTCTAGTCAAATGGGAGTGGTTCAATTCCATTATATGTGAGTTGCAATTCTTGCCAGTTTTCATTGATCACAAAATAAACTCACTATAAAACCGTTGCATGGAAAAGGTGGGAGAGAATAGGGGCATACTGAAATTGAATTCTACCATTAATTCTGGTGAATGTTTTCGCTTCAGACTTTGTCATCATCATGAACATGATATTCCTCGTCATTTACACTGCCTTCATAACGGGTCAGTACGTGGCACGCAATGTTTGTGCAGTAATCTTACACGCGAACCCCCTTTTCTCCTGCGCTGCAGAATCGGAGGCTCCTGATCGTTTCAAACAGATCAACATTGTCCTTCCTCTCTCGTTCCTATTCCTCCTCGGTTAGCATCTACCGTGTGACTCTTTATACATCTTCACTGCACACGTATATTTTTTGCCTCCTCCTCACGATTTTGAACTTTCACAAAAACATTTGCCCTGCCATAGCTCACCCTTTTCCCTAAGCCATACCCAAAAATTACACGCTGCAAAAAATCAGTACTGTTTTTCGTGCAGTGTACATCGTGGAGATAAGTCTGAAGATTCTGGCTCTTGGTCCAATCCAGTACTTCAAGAAGTTCTGGAACATGTGAGTGAGCTTGTGCACCGACAACTGTAGTGTTTATTGTGTCATGTGCCGGTAACGCCGCGCACAGCCCGTCGATGCCGTGACTCACCTTCGAGGTAGGCACAGCCGGGCCGGATGCGCTTGGGCCAGCAGATGGCTTGGACCATCTGGGTGATGGCCGCCGAGGTGGGCGTATCGTAGAAGCGAAACCCTGCTTGAGGAGGGCGACGATGCTCGCCGCCGCTCGTCCGGGTGCGCTTGGCACAATCGAGTCGATGCGACTCTGCGCCAGCAGTTACGGTGAGCGGACTGACGCCGACGGTGGTGTAGCGCACCAGCGGGACATGTCGTCGCTCGTGTCTCCCGGCACATGCTGGACATCGTCCACGGAGACGTTGAGCTCAGCGGGCAATGAACGTGCGATAGCGGCGGTATCCAAAACGCGGCCATAGCCGACCACGACGCGGTTGCGCGGGCAGCCGGAGCATCTGGAAAATGTTCTGCACATGCGTCCAAGGGCGTGGTGACCGCCAGGAGATGCAGTCGGGCGAGTGCTTGACACTCCTCGGTCCCGGCGGCAGGTGATGCGCATGTTGTGAGCAGCAGTCGCTCGCGCGGCTCATCCACGGGCCGGCGGCGATGCGGCGGTGATTACCACGACGTCGGAGCCGGCGCTCTCCTCGTATCCGTTGGAGCCGTTATCAGGGCGTCGGTACCGGTGACCGGACGGATTCGAGCATATCGAGGCTCTTGCCTGGGGAAGTCTTCTACCACGTCACGAGAACACGTCGGCGTGCCGAGCTGGTGATCCGCTGGCGGTCGTGGCGGCCAACATTGCCGGCGCCGACGACAGTTACTTTGCTTCGCGATCTGGTGAGTGGTCCTCCAAATAATCGGTGGTTTTTAGATTGCGTTCCACGATGGCGCTCAAGTGGCGCTGGGCGCATGGCATTGCGGCCAGTGCGGTGATCGGGCGGTAATAACGCCGATGTCCACCGCCTGTCCCTGAGCTTCACCACTCCTGAACTATCTGTCTTGCTCGTTGTCGGGTCATCTGGCGGGCGCCCTCGGTAAAGCGCGACTGCAACTCTGGTCCTCGTCTGTTGGGGCCAGCGCCTGCGCCCATAGAGGCCAAGATAGAAATGGCTGCCCCGGTGTCCAGTTCGTTCACCCGCGCGACGGAGCTCGTTGGTGTTTCAAATGCTCCGATGGCCTGATCCAGAGTCTTCCCAGAAGTTGGCTTCGTGAGCTGTTGAACACCTCGCCATAAGCTCGAAGGATGCGACGAGGAGCGCAGAATTCGCCAGCGATCCCACCGCAGATGCCTTCCTCCAAGAACTGCTGGACGTGCCTGGGGGCCGATCCGCCAGCGCCGGGTTTCGAACAGTCCGCCGCCCTCGAGCAGCGGACGACCGAAAGCATCTTGGCGCTGGTGCCCAACTCCAGGATATGAAGAGGGTCGTTCAAATAATCGCGCAACACATGCCGGTCACGCAATGGTGTCCTCGCCGGCACGACTGCGCGCCGTGGTGAACCGCATGGCATCTATGGGAGACATGGTGCGTATGTCCAACCCGGTGGTGTCATGCAGGGGCAGATACTCATCCACCTTCCTTAATCAGCTCGGCGTCGTGAGCGCGTTCCGGGTCCAACCAAAAGACTGATGCCGAGTTGGTGATCCTGGCCCGACCGACCCCCGAGCCTGACCCAGTCCTGGATCGGGGCGTCTTTCGTTTGACACATCCGGAAGATATCGTCTTCCTCAACCATCTGTTCCATCAGGGTCGTCCTGATGCGTCAACGACCCGGATCGTCCCGTTTCCGGGAGCTTTGAAGGTCTTGTCGTGGGAGCCGTACTCTTCGGCTGCCTGGGCCATGAGCCCCACATTGGAGACGCTGCCGACGGCAGATGGATCATACGCTCCGTGCTCCTGGGCAATCCTCAATCACCGCCTGATATATGGTCGCATAAGAGCGGTCGGGATTATCGCGATGGTGTCATGCAGCTCGTTGTCGGGACCCCAGGTACGCCCGCCATCGCGGACGATAACCGGCATGGAGGCGTCGATAATCACATCGCTCGGGACGTGCAGATTGGTGATGCCCCGGTTGGAGTCACCATCGACAATTTGGGGCGGATTTCATAGACAGCCTGGATGTCCGCCTCGATCTCAGCTCGCTTCGCATCGGCAGGGCCTGGATCTTCGTGTAGAGCTCGGCGATTCCGTTATCAGGGTTCAACCGCGAGTTCAGCCAGATCGGGCGCGTGCTTGTCCAACACGTCCTGGTAGTAAACCGACACGCAGTGGCCGAAGATAATCGGATCCGACACGCGCATCATGGTGGTCTTCACGTGGAAGGAGAGCAACACGTCCTCAGCTTTGGCCTTGTCCATTTCCTCGACGTAGAACTCACGCAGTTCCCTGACACTCATCGCGGCGCAGTCGATGATTTCACCGGATTGCAGCGGGATACCGGATTTGAGTTCGGTGACGCGCCCGTCGCGAGACACAAATTCAATAGCGGCAGACCCGGCCTCCGCGATAGTGACAGCCTGCTCACTGCCGTAAAAATCGCCACTGGTCATGTGGCCGACGCGAGTTTTGGACACTTCCGGCCAATCCTGCATCATCCGATGGGGATTGCGTTTGCCGTGCTCCTTCACCGCAGTGGAGGCCCGCCGATCGGAGTTTCCCTCCCGGATTACCGGGTTGACCGCGCTACCAATCACCTTCGAAAATTGCGCGTGCACTGCGCGTTGTTCGTCATTGGCAGGGTCGTCAGGGTAGTCGGGAATGTCGTATCCCTTATCCTGCAACTCGGTGATCGCGCTCTTTAGCTGGGGGATCGATGCGCTGATATTGGGCAGCTTGATAATGTTCGCCGACGGGTCCAGACACAACTCGCCACACATTGCCAGATAGTCGGGGATTTTTTGCTCGTCCGTCAGTCTATCCGGGAAGTTGGCGATAATGCGGCCAGTCAGCGAGATGTCCCAAGTCTCCAGCTCGATACCCGAACTTTTGGTAAAGGCCTGGAGAATCGGCAGCAGCGAGTGCGTGGCGAGGGCTGGCGCCTCATCAGTTTCGGTGTAAATGATCTTGGCGGCTTCTGCCATGATCTCCTCCCTAGCAAAAATTTCACGGGCCGCTACCGGTTGCCAAGGGGTGTTGGACTGCAGGCCCGGACTTGAAAACCGGATGCGCAGCAACCGGCACAGGCTAACCCTAGCGATTATACACACGAATACTGGCGAATGGTACCCGGAACCCGTGGTGGCACCAGGCCGGCGTTCGGTCAAGCGGCTGACAAGTTGACGCCCGATGATGTAGCAGGGGAGGGGCGAATTATGTTTCGCCCCATGATGGGAAGGTTAGCTGGCTCAGGGTTTGTGCATTGCGGTGCGCTCCCGGGGCATGGTTTTTGGTTGCTCGCTATTGTCAGGTGGTCAGGTGATGATCGATCGGGTCTGCCAGAGCCGGATGGTCGTTCGTTAGCCCCACGGCCGGGGGGTGGTACCCAAAAGGCTGTTACTGCCAAAGGGTTTGACGAGAACGGTGTGGCGCCGCTGGGGGTGCACGCCGGAGCGTCCAGGAAGGCAGCTGCTCCTGTAGCCAATTGGACTGCGCGCCCGAGTCGCTGGGACATCGACAGTCCGGGTTGTCCCATGGCCGGTATGCGATTCGGATGATCCTGCCGTACCCGCGGAGACCGTTGCGGCAGTGGGAGTGTGATACATTGCGCCGGCAATTTGGGGCCTGACTTGTGATGGAATGATGGATCCCGGACAGCCTACAGCGCGTTTGCCGTTGCTCAACAAACTGCTCTATTCGGCCGACCATATCGGCTGGCAGGCCATCGGCTATTTCAGGCAGCAGTGGGTGCTGTTTTTCCTGGCGCCTCCGGCTGTAGAGGGAATGGCGCGGGTGCCAGACGTCGGCGTGTTCGGCTACGAGGTTGACGCGCGGGTGCTGGCCGGGATCCTGATCTTCTCCGGTCGTTTCATAGATGCTTTCACCGACCCACTGATCGGCTGGTGGAGCGACCGGACGCGCAGCCGGTGGGGCCGGCGAATACCGTTCATCATGTTCAGCACGCCGTTCTACGCGGCGTTCGGGGCTCTGATCTGGTTCCTGCCCGACCCGGGCAGCAGTTGGTGGAACGCCGTCTATTTCGTGCTGATGCTGGAGCTGTTCTTCACGGCGGCCACGATGTCCAGCGGAGCGCTGGAGGCCCTGGTTCCGGAGCTAACGCGCACGGCCCGGGACCGAATGCAGGTGGTCAGTTTCATCTTCCTGTTCGCAGTTGGCGGCGCCGGGTTGGGGCTGGTGATGGGTGGGTACATCAAGGACGCCTTCGGCTTCCAGGTGGCGGGATCGATATTCGCGGTGGCGGCGCTGGTGTGTCGCTACATCTCGCTTGCGGCGATATGGAAACACGCACCCCGCGACATACCGCCGGCCCAGGTACCCTTCCGGGAAGGATTGCGCGACACCTTGCGGAACTCCCAGTTCGTAGCCTTTTTGCCGACTTTCGTGATGTTCACCACCGGAGTCGGGGTGCTGCAGGGGTGGATCCCGTTTTTCGCGGTGGGAGTGCTGCTGCAGGAAAGGGACGGGGCGGCATCAAGCTGGTTGTCGACCAGCGTGATCGGGGGAGCCATCGCGTTTGGCCTCGTGATCTGGATACTCTTTGCCGCCGGGGCGGTGAGCAAGCGGCGGATCTACGGTATCTGCCTGATCGCGTGCGGGGCCATATACCCGCTGCTTAGCCTGATTGGCGTGGTGATGACGGAAAGGCTGGTGTTGCAGGGATTGGTCGTGCTCTTCATCGCCGGGATGCCGATGGCGGCGGTGTTCCTGCTGCCCAAGGGACTGACCGCGGACATCGCCGACTATGACGCGCTGTTGCGCGACGAACGGCGCGAAGCCATGTTCTACTCAACCCAGAACTTCTTCGAGAAGGTCACCTATGCGCTGCCCCCGCTGCTGCTCAGCCTGGTTTTGCAGTTGGGCGATTCGGCGGAAAACCCACTGGGCATCCGGCTGGCGCCGGTCATGGCCGGCGTGCTGGTGCTGATCGGGTTTGTGCTCTGGCCGCGCTACAAGCTGCCGGACACGGTTAACCGCGAGACCCTGACGCAAGCCGGACTGTTACGCCAGGGGACGTAACGACAGCGTGAGGTCACGAATCCAATTGCGCTGCCAGGGCGGCCGCGTCCGTGACGGGTAACTGACAAGCGTAGTTCTCGCACACGTAGGCGGTGGCCAGACCTTCCTGCATCACCCTCTGCTCCAACAACGGCGAGTCCTGCAACGGCGGGTTGGCCGGATCGGATACACCCACAACGACGCGGTTGGGCATGAACCGCGCGCTCACTTCCTGCAGCATGGCTGCGGCCGCCGGATCGTCCGATGGCCCGACGATGACGATCTCCCGGGGCAGGGAGACATAGAAGTCAAGCGCGCCCAGCCAGTGGCCGGTCGCGGAAGGCGCCCGGCCGAGGAGTTGTTGCATGGCCCGCAGCGGGGTGGCGCCCTTGGCGGAAAAGTCATCGCTGCCGGTCACAACCGCCAGGCGCAACAGCACGTCGGATGCGACCGAGCCACCGCAAGGTTGGGCATTGTCGAACACGTCACGAGGCCGAATCACCAACTCTTCGTGATCACTGCCCGTGTCGTAGAAACCGCCAACCGCGTCGTCCCAGAACAGCAAGGCCATATCGTCGGCGACGGACACGGCTTCCTGTAGCCAGCGGGGCTCCAGTGTGGCCTCGTGGAGGGACAGCAGGCCGTCGGCCAGGCAGGCGTAGTCTTCCAGGTAGCCGTTGAGCTTGGCCTGGCCGTTTCGCCAGGTTCGAAGGAGGCGGCCGTCGGCGCTGCGCATGGCGGCGAGCACGAAATCGGCATTTTTGCGGGCAGCGTCCAGGTAATCGGGGCGTCCCAAAGCCGCGCCGGCCTCGGCGAATGAGCGCAGCATCAGACCGTTCCAGGAGGTGAGCACCTTGTCGTCACGCAGCGGGTGGATCCGCTGCTCGCGAACGTCGAGGAGGATGGCGCGGGCGCGGGTGATTGCCTGGGCCAGGCTATCTTCGGACACGCCCCGCTGGCTGGCGTACTCCTCGGGCGGCCGGGTCACGTTCAGTATGTTTTCGCCTTCGAAGTTGCCGCGCTCGGTGACGCCGTAGTAACCCATGACCAGGTCGGCGTCGTCGCCCAACAGGGGACGCAGTTCGTCCGGTGTCCACACGAAGAACTTACCCTCGACGCCTTCGCTATCGGCGTCCTGCGCCGAGTAGAACCCACCGGCCGGGTCGGTCATCTCTCGCAGGACGTAGTCCAGGGTCTCCTCGGTGATCCGGCGATACAACGGGTTGCCGGTCACCTGCCAGGCGTGGAGGTACAACCGCACGAGGAGGGCGTTGTCATAGAGCATCTTCTCGAAGTGGGGAACGAGCCAGTAGGCATCGGTGGAATAACGGTGGAAACCGCCGCCAACCTGGTCGTAGATGCCGCCATAGGCCATCTTCTGGAGGGTCAGTTCCACCATTTCGAGGGCGCGGGCGTTGAACCCATGACGGTTGTAACGCAGGAGGAACTCGGGCGTCATGGGCTGAGGGAATTTGGGGGCGTTGCCGAAACCGCCGTTGAGGTGGTCGAACTGAGTCGCCAATTGCGAATAGGCGTTGTGCATCACCTCCGTGGTCAGCGGCGTGAAGCCGCGAGGCATCTCGCTGGTGCGGCCCATCTGCTCGGACAGCTGGCGGGTGACGCGGTCGATCTCGCCCTTGTTGGTGTGATAGGCCTGGCTGGCGGCGGCCAGCAGCCGGGGAAATCCGGGCATGCCACCGCGGTCTTCGGGCGGGAAGTAGGTGCCGCCGTAGTAGGGGTGACCTTCCGGCGTCAGGAACACGGTCATGGGCCAACCGCCGCTACCGGTCATCATCTGGACGGCTTCCATATAAACGGCGTCCAGGTCGGGCCGCTCCTCCCGGTCCACCTTGATGTTGACGAAGCTGTCGTTCATGAGAGCGGCGATGTCATCGTTCTCGAAGGACTCGCGCTCCATGACATGGCACCAGTGGCAGGCGGAATACCCAATGCTCAACAGGATTGGCCGGTCCTCGTCGCGGGCGCGGCCGAGGGCCTCTTCGCCCCAGGCGTACCAGTCCACGGGGTTTTCGGCGTGTTGCAGGAGATAGGGGCTGGTCTCGTTGATCAGGCGATTGGCCATGGGGATACTCTCCTGGGCGCGGGTGGGGAGGGCTGGGCGGAGGATTGGGTAGGTCGGGCCGTTTTGGTGGTCCCGGGGGTTTCGTCTTGTGCTTGACGAATTACGTCGAGCACGTCATTGGGAGATTCTAACGGTTCAGGCCGCGATTTCGAAGTCCCTGAGACGGGCCGGAGGGCAATCCGGCGAGCGGTCGCCCGCGATGCGGCCGGGGTGGTCATGCGGTGAAAATACGGATCCAAAACGGGTCGTCGATGGGTGTTTTTGGCAGCTCAACCCTTCATTTGGGGGCGTCATCACCCTGTTTCGAGGGTGTCGATTTGGAGGTGTCGACGGCCAGATTGCGTGGCCCGGTTTTTCTCACGGGGGCGGTCAAGGATCGCAGTTTGCGGGTCCGGGGGCGTCTGAAGGCTGTCCGGGGCGACGAAAATGCTATGAAACACAAGTTCTCAAACGCCTTCTCGATGGGGTGTTTTTGGCATCTCAACCCCCCATGTTAGGGGTGTCAACCCCCCGTTTTGAGGGTGTCGATTTTGGCCCAAAAGGCTCGGATTTTCCGCGGCGGCGGCGAGGTTGTCGCCGGTCCGGATGGTCTGGGTCCGCGATGCTGGTCATGGAGAGGCCCGGTCGACCCGGCATCTGCGGGGCATGGGCCGGATGATAGCACGGGGAGGTTGTGTGGGAGTTGGTGAGGTGGCCGTCGGGTATGGGGGTCGGATGGACGGTTGATGGTCGGGAGGTTGCGGGGAGGCTGGGCGCGGGTGAAGAGCTTCCGGGTCCGGGAAGGAGGAGCGTCGTCCGGCGATGGTGAAATTCATCTGCAGGTGGCCAGCCGGGGGGTCGGGCGGAGCCACGTCGTCGGTTGTTCCGAAAGGGAACCGATGACACGCTGTCGTCAATGTGGGCCTAAGAATCACCCATCGGTATTCCATACCGATGCCGTTTTCCGTACTTTCTCTGGGGTTGATGGCGACGACCTGCTATGCCAAATCACTTGGCTGCAGTTGTTCCTGACCGGACTTGCTCGCAGCGAGTGATGGCTTCTTACAAGGTCCAGGTACCGATACTCCCGCCATGACCCAATTCCTACACGACATTCACGAAGAAGGTTAACGTGCGCCCGATAAGTTGGCTTCATATATCGGATTTTCACCTTCAGGAGGGGCAAGAATGGTCTCAAGACGTAGTTCTGAGGGAAATGTGTCGGCACATTGAGGAACTGCGCGAAACGGACGCTGACGTCGATTTCGTTTTGGTCACAGGAGACATCGCTTTTTCTGGCAAAGCTAGTGAGTATTTACTCGCAGAGCGTTTTTTCAATCGGCTTGAAGCGGCATCTGGAGTGCCGTTGAAGCGCATTTTCTGCGTCCCGGGCAATCACGACATAGACCGCACCAGGCAAAGGTTTTGCTTCACGGGTGCCCGTACCACCGTTCAGAACTCAAACCAGATGGATGCTTGCCTGGCTGGAGGGGAGGACTTAGCGACTCTTCGGATTCGCGAGGAAAATTATCGGCGGTTCCAGGAAACCGTGTTTGCCCAACAGGACAGGAACCCAACACAGGATGGTCTTGCCTATGTGGCCCGCGTCACCATAGATGGAGTTAGGCTGGCGATAGTGGGGTTAGATTCGGCATGGATGGCTGAAGGTGGTCTTGAGGATCAAGGCAAATTATTCATAGGAGAACGGCAGGTCATCAATGGCATTGCACTAGCTCGGGAAGGAAATGACCTGCCGCACATCATGTTGGGCATGGCTCACCATCCTTTCCATTGGCTCAAAGAATTCGACCGCAGAGCGGTTCAAAATCGGCTCGAGGGCGCACTTCATTTCTACCATTGTGGGCACCTGCATGTACCGAACACCACTATCACAGGGCCTGTCGGATCAGGTTGCTTGACGGTATCAGCCGGGGCGGCCTTCGAAACACGACAACACCACAACTCATACTCTATGGTGAAACTCGACCTGGCGAGCGCAGTACGCGTCGTCGAAGTTTTTCGATACAGCCCAGAAGCTAATTCCTTCACGATCTCTCCCGCGGATTGCGGTGAATACCCAATCGAGGTGGACCCAACTGCGACGTGTGACGTAGGTGAACTTGGGGCCGCGATCCGAGGCCACCATCCTGCGCTCGCAAGTTGGGCTTTCTATTTAGCGGCATTATTGCTCGATATGAAATCCGAATTCCTTATCCCTACCGCAGAGGTCCCCACATTCGGTTCTTTCGAACTTTTGAAAAAGGCAGATGACGGCGAACTGAAACATAGGACGATGGAATTTATGAAGTTCCGGAACATCCTGCGCCTGCTATACGGCCAAGTCTCATTGGCTGAGATATTGGACCAGAGTAGTACGTTAGTCGTGCCGTATGGGGAAATCTTGACGACGGAAGGTGATGGGAACCATGTTTTGAAGGAACGCCTTGATGCCCTCGAAAACGACGCCCAGTCGTTGGCCTCCAGCGAGCCACGGCAACCGTCCTCGCATGTACTCGGCCTGCTAAACGAATTGGCCCAAGATGGAGAATGGGATATGTTGCGAGAGCAGGCTGAGCGGCACCTGGATGTTCCTGATCCTCCGGCGGTCGCGCACCAAGTTACGCGAATGCTGGCGTTTGCTTTAGCTCAATCCGAAGAATCAGGGGATAGAGTAAAAGCCGTTACTTACTTCCAATATCTGATTGGATCCGACTATGTCATCGAAACTGACGTGCGGAATCTAGCGGTTATGCTCAAAGACGATGGTTGCACAGATGGTGCTATGTCGCTGGTGCTCGAAGGGATAAGGAGATTTCCGGCACGAAAGGCGCTCTTTGCCCAGATAGGCCACGAGATCGTAGGTGCTACTGGCGATAACAATCTAAGAGAACAGCTGGAAAACGCGTTAAGAGGGCAGGCATGACCAACCAACAGACATCGTTCGCGGCCGGCATAGATTTCGATAGCATCCTACGGATAATCTCAAAAGAGGTTTACGATACGCCTTTCGCTTTTATTCGCGAAAACGTGCAAAATGCCGTGGATGCTGTCCGCATCCGGGCGCACCGCGAAGGAGTCTCTCTGGCTGATAGCCGTTACCGGATCGACGTTATCGCGGAGAGCCGGACAATCACGGTACAAGACAATGGCATAGGGATGTCGTCCGACCACCTGCAGAGACTATTCTGGACTATCGGAGCGAGCGGCAAAAGAACGGCAGAAGCATTGGCTGCTGGCTGTGTAGGAACCTTTGGGATCGGCGGGTTCGCCAATTTCGGAGTCTGCGAGTCTTTAGAAGTGATATCACAAAGTAGAGATGGAGACCCGGGGATCCTCACGCGGCTTTCACAAGAAGAAATACGTTCGGCCGGCTCGACGATTCCGCAAGTCACTATGGAACCGTCGTGTTTGGCCGCACCCGGAGGAACTGTAGTCATTGGACGATTGCGAGAAACAGCCGATCTCCAGGCGCTCCAGGAATATTTGGTGGATTTCGTACGTTTTGTCCCGGTCGCTGTGTATTTCAACAACGAGAACATATCCCAGAAACGGTTTGATGATATTGAGATGCGCGAGAATTACACGGACATCAGTGGTGAGACCCAAGAATGGCGAGACGGCGACTTAGTGATCACCGGGAGGTTATTTGAAGACAGGGGACACGCTCTTTTGGCAAATATAGTTGGTCTGCATATCTCGGGCGAATCTGCCAACGCCCGAGGACTTCTCAGGTTTGAAAACGGGGTAATCAACGTATTCAAACACGGTTTCCAACTGTGCGCTACTCATGTGGGAGCCACCGTAGGGGTTTCAGGTCGGCTGGATTGTGATCGTTTCGTTCCAACGGCTGGCAGGGATTCTTTAGGTCCAGAAACTTCTAGCTTGTTGGGAAACATCGTGGCAACGCTGGAGAAAGTCGCGATCGAGAAAATCTTAGAGTCGCCAGAGCGTATAGCTCAGCATACCCGAATATTCCAATTCATCATCAGGAACGGATTCATTGAGCAACTGGGTAACGTGATGATGCGCCTCGCAGATGGATCAGAAAGTACCCTTTCCGATATTCGCGCGAAAGTCGAACGGGGTGGTATCGGGGTCTTTTATGGTGTCGCTCGGAATCAGGCGTTGAATCAGATAATGCAAGCTCGCGGTCACTTGGTGGCACTGCTGTCATCTGACCGGTATCGTCAAAACGCGGAACGTCAGTTTCTCGAACAGTATTGCTCTGCTAAGCCGTTTGACGGCATGATCGACTGCGCGGAGCATTATCAAGATCTGAACCGCTTTGAGCGGGTTTTCCTCAGCGAGTTAGAGTCTAACATTTCGAGGTCATATGAGATCGCTGAATTCCAACTAGTGCCAGGCAAACTTACCGAAGACATCCCGGTGTTTTTGAGAGAACGCAGCCGCGGTCAGCCCCTTGAAATCTTTGTGGACGTACGACACCCTGAGATCACCAAGTTGGAGGTTCTCGGGTACACGAACATCCTCTACTCGTTGATCTCCGCATTCTGTCACGAGTATCTCGGCCAGTCACTCAAGAAGTGGAGCCCGCGATTCTTTGGCGACGGCGCCCTGAATCTCGAACTTTTGTCTAAACGGCGATCAGAGCTTTGGCTATTGGTAAAGGATGATATCAGCGAAATCCGGAAGGGTACCCAGCGCCAGGTCTTAACGCGTTCTGACGTTGGAATCGTTAGAGTTGGCTCGGACTCCGGTGGATCGGTCCCGGCTGCCGAACAACCTCGTGCACGTATCCTGCACATTATCGACGAAAGTGGCGCCACGGATGTGACCGGTTACTACATACGAGTGCCTGACAGAGCCTTCGGAGCCTATGGTGATCTTCTTCAAGCCTGTGAAGAAAAAGGCGTCGTATGGGCTGGTAATAAAGTCACATACGTGGCTTCGGATGGAGTTAGTGCTGCTTTTCAATACGAGATTCGACTGGACGAACTTGTCGCAGCCGATGTCAACGGCACTAGACGAGTCGAAGGTGCTGTTCCGCTCGATCAGCCATTGCAGGAGATATTCCAAGGGATCTATTTCCCCATACCCTCTTCGTTGGAAAGGTTCCTTGTTCCCTCTGGTGACCAGGAGATTCGTTTGGAATTGCATTGTGACTGGCTAGATTTGCGTACCGCCAATTATTGGCTCGCGAAGTGACCATGGGTAGCGGCCGAGGGAGTTGCACCTTTCGGCGGCGGCGTTGCAGTTGAAGTAGACGCGGATGATGGGATGGCCGACGCCGGCGAAGTCGGCAAGGTCGCCGATGGATAGGGAATACCCGGGCTCGGTTGCGGACGGGTGATGCTTTCCATTCGGCGTGGTCGGTAATGAGGCGGTACTCGACGACGCGAATGGCTGGCGTTTAGTCCCAGTCAGCTTCGAGGGTGTCGTCGGTATGCCAAACGCGGACGGCGGCATGGCCGAGGATATTGAAGATGACCGGGGTGTATGAAGTGGCGGGGCCGCCGCATCGATCGGCGTTACAGGCTGGCAGGCCGCGTTGCAGGCTTGCGGGCGGACGATCTGTATTCCCTGGCCGGAAATGTTGATCTCGGCGTCGGATGCCTGGGTGGTGAGCCTGGCGTCCTCGGCGATGCTCTCGCCTTTGAGGCGGCATTGGACCAGGTAGCTTGCGGAGCTGCCCACGGGGTCTTGATCGACGTCGATCCGGGTCGCCCCGGTTCGACAATCAACATGGGACCGTTGGGTTTTCGTGGTGGCCGCGGTCCGGTTGTGGGGCCGACGCTCGACGCTACGAGATTGCCACGTCGCTTCGCTTCTCGCAATGACGGTCGAACGGCCCGGCGATGTCTCACCGGGCCATTCGTTCATTCTGAGGCAGGCGCTCACTTTGGGTCGTGGGCGCTGAGGGTTGCCGGTGCTTGTGCCAATGAATGCCACCGACGCTGCGAGATTGCCACGTCGCTTCGCTTCTCGCAATGACGGTCGAACGGCCCGGCGATGTCTCACCGGGCCATTCGTTCATTCTGAGGCAGGCGCTCACTTTGGGTCGTGGGCGCTGAGGGTTGCCGGTGCTTGTGCCAATGAATGCCACCGACGCTGCGAGATTGCCACGTCGCTTCGCTCCCCGCAATGACAATCGAACGGCCCGGCGAAGTCCCACCGGGCCATTCGATCATTCTGAGGCAGGCGCACACTTTGGGTCGTGGTCGCCGAGGGTTGCCGGTGTTTGTGCCAATTAAGGCTTTGGGCCGCGGCCTTTGTAGTAGTTGCTGACGGCGTGCTTGACGTCCTGGTACTTGCCGACGAAGGACACTCCCTTATGGTCGTAGGTCCACGTCACGTTTCCGAAGCGCTGGATACTTCCCATGGGCCGGCCATTCAGGATTACCAGGGACTGTTTCCCATCCGGTTGACTGAACTCCGTTGGGTTGATGGTCTTCTCCATTTTATTTGGCCTCTCATCGCGTGGTATTGGACGGAGTTGGAGTGGCTCTGGTTAGAAGGGCAAGGGGCCGCGGTTGCAGTCGCGCTCGTGATTTCCTCTGCAATCTGGATGCAGTTGCTGGAATCCGACTGCGGGAAGAGCGGAGAGGGCGGAGTCAGTGTATTCCTAGCACTGTCTCTGGTGGATCGTGGCTTTCTGCGATCGCTCCGCCGCGTCGTCGTAGGTCGAGCCGGTTCTGATACCGACCGTACCCACTGACTTGTCGTTCAGCACCGTGTGGAACCGGAATCGCGGCTCCTCGGCTGGATTATCGTTCGATGTGCTCCGCAGCCTGATGGCCCTGATCGACGCATGTCCTCTGGTCACTCCGGATTGCGGTCTGTGCAGTTTCATCATGGGGCACCTCGTATGTTTGACGACGAGGAGTAGAAAGGTCTGACGATTGCGTGTCGCGCGAGGCAGCGTGGCGGCGAGGCTAAGGGGAGTGGCGGGGCTGGCAATTCCGGCACAAACGGGTTTACGCAACAGGGCTTTGGCGTACTGCATCTGGTGTCAATGCGAGGGCAAATGCTGAGGCCAGGACCCGGGTGGGTATCCTGGCCTCCAATCTCCTTCTGCTCCGGTTGCCCGTTGGCTGGTCTTTCGAACGGTGCGTTATCGGCGCCGCGATGCGCCTTTTGGCCATATGGCCGGCACCCTGGGCTCAACGGTCGCCCGATGCGTCCGGTATCCCCGCCGGTCGGAGCGGTTCAGCGAACCGCCACGGCGTCACCGGCAGGGCGCCGACAAATGCATTGCCACTGATGGTGCCTCGTAATCAGAGAAACCACTTTTTACCTCCTGCGTTGACGACGGTTCTGTTCCTGACCATCGGGTTACGGTGGGTGGGGATGCCCAGCAACCCCAGCACTTAGAATAAATACTATACCGTATAACAATAATTGTCAAGGTCATCCCATCCGGCGCCAGGGGCATTCGATTGTTGTCGGCAGGGAGATGACCCAATCCGCCTGTCACGGTGCGATGCGACCGCTGTCGGCGAGAGCCCATGCTGCGGCCGCGAGATTGCCACGCTTCGCTCACAATGACATTTGGGAAAATCGAATGACCCTGGCTACTGACGATCGGACTGCCTGCTGAAGAGCTGGCTTGCTGGTAGCATGGTCCGCGGCGTGGATTGAGCAGATGTGACAATGGCGATGCGACGGCGTTGGAACGGGGGGGATGAGCAACATCGGGATGCAAGCGGCGCAAGCGGGCAGTCCAGAGATAAACAAGGCGTGGTTTTTCGCCGTGCTTTCGCTGGCCGTTTTTTCGGGTCTGAGCGCGGTGTTCATTGTTCCACCGCTGCTGGTGGAAATCGCGACGGATTTCGAGGTTTCGGTGGCGGTCGCGGGTCAGTTGGCCACCGTGACCTTCACAGCATGGGCGGTTTCCCTGCTCTGCGTGGGCCCCCTGTCCGATTCCTTCGGCCGCCGACCGGTGTTGCTCACCGGGCTGGTGGTGCTCTGCGGGTCGGTGGTCGCGTCGGCTTTCGCGCCCAATATCGAAACGCTGTTGGCGCTCCGGGTGCTGACCGGAATGGCAGGGGGGACGCTGCCACCCACCGCGGTTGGGGTAGTGTCGGATGTCATTTCCCCGGCCAGGCGGGCGCGGGCGGTAACCGCAATATTGGGCCCTGCAAGGGGTGGTTTCGGCGACGACCATCCCGCTGGTTGCGGTGATAGCAGACCAGGGAGGCTGGCGGCTTCCCTTCATGGCTTCAGGGCTGTTGCTGGCGCTGGCGTTACTGATGAACTGGATATGGTTTCCACGAGACACCGGTGAACACGCGCGCAACCGGGAATTTTTCTCCAGATATCGCTGGCTGCTGTCGTTGCGTTTTTTCCGCGTGGCCATAGCGGTTGGGGTGACGCAACGGATCGCTTTCTGGGCGACGCTGAGCTTTTTCCCGGCGTACCTGATACTCACATACGAAGTGAGCGTCGGATTCGTGGCCCTGCCGCTGGTGATAACAGCCGTAGGGCAGGTGATCGGAAGCTATTCCGCCGCTTGCGTGGCAAAGCAGAGGTACCGTGCTGTCCTGATCGCGAGCACTTCGGCGGCAGGCGGGGTCTGCGTATTCCTGCTGTTCTCCTCGGATCCGGGAATCTGGTTGTCGGTGGCGGTGGCCACGGCTGGCACGGGTCTGTTGAGCGTGGCAATGCCGTCGCTGGTCGCCGCCAGCACCGAGTATTCGGGGGAATCCAAGGCCACGGGGGCCAGTCTGATGGGCCTGAGCAACCAGACGGGAGGAGCACTGGGGGCCGCGTTCGCGGGCGCGCTGTTGGCGAGCACGGGCTACCTGGGAATGGGCTTCCTGATCCTCGGTGTGACGATCGCGTGCGCACTTTTGACGAGCCTGTTCGGCAAGCAGTTCGGAGAGGCCGCGAGTCGAGCGGGCCAGGGTTGACCCGGTATTGATGTTGCGGGATCGCCCGCGGTGACGACGAGATTGCCGCGCTTCGCTCGCAATGACGATTGGAAGGTACCGCAGGGTTCCCGACTCATTCCTGGTCGATCAGGCGGAGTACCAATTCGGCGAACTCGCCGCCCCGGTGCCGGCCATCGGTGCGGCCACCGGTCCACAGCAGCGGCCGATGGCCCTCGCCTTCAATAATCGTGAAGGTGGCGCCGGGAATATGGGCGGCGAACCGGCGGCCCCACTGTTCGGTGAAAACCGGGTCGGAGTCTCCAAAGATGACGTGCGCGGGCTTTTTCCACGACGCAAGGGCGTCGTACGCGGCGGCTTGGCGTCGGGCGTTTCCGGCTTCCGGTTGCGCAAATGGCAGCATCCAGGGCCACCGCAGCGGGCCGGCCGTTGCGTCGAGGCTGTCGAACGGAGCCAGAACCGCGTTCGGGTAGTTTCTGGCCGGCGGCGGCGGTGTGCCGGTGAACACGCCCGTGGTGAAATCGAGGGACTGCGATTGCACGTTCCACTGGCGCAGGGCATCGGTGTAGCCGAAGCCTTCGTGGTGCAGCCAGGTGTTGAGGATGATCAGGCGGTCGAAGCGGTCGGGCATCTCGGTCGCCATGATCAACCCGTTGGGCCCGCCCCAGTCATTCACCACGATGGTGATACCGCGCAGGTCGAGCCGTGTGACCAGGGTCTTCAGGGTGAGCACGTGATGATCGAGGGTGTACCAGTCGACGTCGATGACCTTGTCGCTCTTGCCAAACCCGATGTTGTCCGGCGCGATGACACGGTATCCGGCGGCCGCCAGGGGCTGGATCGCGTCGCGGTACATGTAACTCCACACCGGCTCGCCATGCAGGAGTATGAAAGTGCCGGCTGCGCCCGATCCTTCATCGATGCAATGCATCCGCAGTCCGTCGATGTCCAGGTAGTGTGGCGCGAAGGGGAAGTCATCGACGGTCGCGAACTGCTCGTCGGGGGTCCGATGGACCCCCGGGATTGGCTGTTGGCCGAGGTCAGGTCCATAGGTCATGCTTGTCCTCGCGTATCGCCAGTCGTTGATCGCCGGCTGATTGTAGCTGTACGGAATAGGCCGGAAGGCAGGATGCCAGCGCAGTTGTTCAGCGCATTCCATCATTGGGAAGCGTGTGGTGCTTCGCAAGGAACTCAGACATCGGAACGACCTCCCCGAGTCCAACCGGCCAATCGGGAAATCTCCAGTCGACGGGGACGGTCCGTGTCGCAAATCCGGACCGGCCTGGAGGCCGTAGGTAGGGATACTGGGCAGTCTGCTACAATCGGCGGGATCGCTTGTACGCCCCCAAGACTACGGGACGGGTTACGGATCGGGATGAACTGGGTAGCACGAATTCGGGGGTTCGATGGCGCTAACGCTGCTGGTCGGCGTTCTGGCGCTTGCCGTCATTTCGTGCGCCCCGGCGTCGGGAGGCGGCGGCGGGGAAGTGGTCAGCAACGGGGGTCTTGCGGTAGGACAAACCGCTCCGCCGTTCGCCATGACGCTGGCCGACGGTTCGTCGGTAGACTCAAACGACCTGATAGCGAACGACCGGCCGGCCCACCTCTTCTGGTTCGCGACCTGGTGACCGGAGTGCCGCGCTGAGTTGCAGACGCTGGACCCCATAGCGACGGAATACAGCGAGATCGATTTCTACGTGGTGGCGTTCAACGAGCCCGCCGGAACGATTGAACAATACATCGAGGAGCAAGGTTATACGGACCTGATCGCGGCTCAGCCAGAAGGCACGATGCTGGAGGATCTGGAGATCACCCGGCAGATGGCCATGGTGGCCCTGAAATCGGAGGAGTGATCTCACCGTCAGCGAGGGTTCCGCGGACCAGTGGGCGCCGCCTCAGTTTGCGCAATTAGACCGAGGACCCGGACGCGGTACCTTCCAAAGAGCAACCCGAACAGCCAAAAAGGGACTGGCGGTGATGGACATGCAACTGCGCTGATGACAAATAGGGCACCGGCGTCGTTGACGCCGCAACTGAGCAAGGTTAGAATGAAACAAACTCCTGGTTGCAGGACTGGCGGCGCGACCGTTACGTCGTTCGTGGCGTGCGGCTCCCCCGCGCTTCGGAACCATCGATTCACAGCGGCCACCGACCGAAACCAGGTCGAACGAGCGGGGGCCGCGGTGTGCAACCTGCCGCGACCGATCCGGCTCCTCCGCGGCGCAAGCCGCGACCGCGACTGATGCCCCTCGGCGCGACAAAGGACGGCGACCGCAATGCTGCGTGGCGTCACAACCAACGGACGTCCGGCAAACGACCCGGCCTTCGACGCGGTGACCACCACAGACATGGCACGCAACCGGCTGCCACCGAAATTCCCACTCCACCGGCAGCGACAAACGACGGATCCGGAACAATGTCTGCCGATGCGCCGGAGGTTGGATGGTCGGGACCCAGGTCGGGGCGAGACAACCGCCCGGCATTACGCGCAGGACCGGTTTCTGAAGGATCCCGGACGATCGAGTAGGGAGAGGAAATCGTGGGAACGGCCGCCGACGGTCTTCTGAGAATGCGCAACTGGTGACCAACGTGTGCGCGAGTTCGGGACGCTGCGCCCAATAGTGGGGAAACGCTGGACAGTGTGACTTTTACCTCGTTGCGTCAACGAGAGCGCGAACCCTGGAAGAGTAATCGATGGACAACGATACACGGACATGGATGCCACGCAGTCGGTGGATCGATGATCGCCGACCGGCGTATGTCAGAACTCTCCCGATGAGCGCGGTCGGCCCAGCGAAGGGTCATCACATTCCGCAAAGGGTACGGAGGTCGGGGAGCCGACTTCGGGCGCGGAAGTTGACGGGCTGGTGCAATAGCAGCAGAACGGCAACTCATGGCAGCGCACAAGACTGCGGGAAAACTCAATGGTTGCCACGCACCGCGTTAATAATGGCCTCCGTCAGCGAGCGGGGACGGTGCCGGCCAGCACGATTGAACATGGAGGTAACCTAGGACAGCGGCATGGAGCCCCATGATGATTATAGCATAGCGAGTGAGGACGGCAGCGGCGACGGCGCGGGCCGAGGTCGCGAGCCAGATGTAGGGCCTGGCTTCTGCAGTGGGCCGGCGGATTTGGTAAATCGATCGCTGCGGTAGTCG